TCCAACAGGTGTTCTAAAACAAGGAAATAGGGAGAAATCCCTAAGCTTTGCCGGATTTCCGGCCGGAAAATGGGTGGCGGTAGTTGGGGGGGCTTCTTGGGTGCAGAGGGTCGGGGGCAGAGCATCGGGGAGAAGAAGAAGATGAGGATGAGCAAAACACGTGGCTGAGGAGAGAAATATCAACCTTGATCCTTATCCTAATTTCCTTTCTTTTTAGTCCCTCAACTTTTAAAAATTTTACGATTAAGCCCCAAAACAATATTTTTTCTCAAATAAGTCCCCAATTTAATGCTAAAATACCCCAAAATTTTGGGATATTACATCCACCCCTCCTAAAAAGGAGTTTTGTCCCCAAAACTCAAATCTAGGATTGTCTAGACTGGTGAATGGCTTCACACAATCTAAGACAAAATAATGCCCCACCGACTTTCTATGGTCAGAACATGACCTACTACGCTTCCGCTGCGCCACCCTGATATCAAACACAATTATCACAAGGAAATCAATCACAAGATACACGGCTAACAATCACAAAGATACAACAATCATATTCACTTTACGGGAACTGGGTACTCATCACTGCCCTAACAAGCCAACAACAATCTCAATCTCCATCCTCTCCAATGGTCATTTGGGAGGCGGGAGATAACTTCACGCCTCAACACAAGTAGCTAAACTCGAGAGTTATCGGCGTGATTATGTAGTGCCCTTGACTCAAATTAAGACCCGGCACTCATCAAACACAACATGGCAAGGAATCTAATGAGGAGTCCAACTAAAAGATGGAACCCTATCCGAGACGGATAAACATCACTCGGATACTCAAAATCATGAACGGATGAATGCATGCATATGCATGTATGAATGAATGCCTTTATGCATGCATGTATGAATGCCCATGCATGTATGAATGCCCATGTGTGTATGCGTGTATGAATGCCCATGTGTGTATGCATGTATGCATGTATATGCTCATGTACATCTATGTTCGCATTCACGTATGAATGCCTAGATGGATACTCAAACAAACAGACCTAATATGGAAGGTCTTATACATCCTACCACAACCAAAATCAAGTACACTATCACAAGGGACCAAGTTCCAAACAAGGTCCTAAGAGCATAGTGAACAAGATTAATTTCAAAACTTCTCACTATCAGCAGATAACAAGTACTAACCGAATCACTATCTCATCAAAGCGGATCAGAAAATTCAAGCAACACAAATCAGAATCGTCCCTTGTATAACCCCATCACTCATCTCACCACGGTTCTAAATCCCTTAACTAGCCAAGTTCAAAACATATCCTAGGTATTCAATTAAACCTAGGCTCTCACATCACAAAATCTTAATCAAACCTAAGCTCTGATACCACTAAATCTGAAGGTGCTTAATTTAATCCAAAACTCTTAATTTAAACCAAGCTCTTAATTTCAACCTAAGCTCTGATACCACTAAATCTCCAGATATCTAATTTAACCTAAGCTTTGATACCACTAAATCTGAAGATCAAATTATAAAATCTCCGATATCATAAATCTCCAATAAAATCTCCAAATACAAGATCATGATTCATATCTAAAATTTATATCCAATTACAATATGGCTAGCCTTCTAACTCGTCACTCCCCTCGATTTCCCCGTCCTTAGTTTCGTTTCCTGAAATGGTGGACAAGGAAAACTATGAGATAACTTAGTAAGT